TTAATTTGTGATTAATAGTCTTATAAAAAGGGTCTTAGCTCTTAATTATTATAATAAGCGCGGCTTATGCTTGCAAGTCATAATAACTTTTTTCTCAACAAATCAGACTGAACCTGCTTATATTTATGTTAATAGCTCGGTTCAGGTTCAACAATTTCTATAATAATTCACATTTTTAAACAACTCAGTGAAATTTGGAAAACATTTCGCTCTGAAGCTGGAACTTTTGCACATCAAATATTTATATCACATTTATCTCACCCTTTCGAAAATCATCTACTAATATCGTTCGCGATCTTTCTTTATAAAATTCAATTTGTTGAAAAAGAAAAGGAGCTGATTTTATCAGAATCTTACATTCTTTAACGTAAAGAGAAGCGTCAAAAACGTTATTACGCTATACTGTAGAACAGGTGAAAATAATATGAATAATAATGAATTCTCAAAAAGTATTGTAAAAATTCCACTCTTAGATTTCAGCTAACTTCCTCTTTGTTCTTCTGATAGCAGGCACTCCTGTAAAGTTTTGAGAGTACCTAGGAATTGCGGAACTACTAGAGTTCTTCAAGCAGTTTTCTTAATAAAACAATCTGGAATCTATTATGTAAAGAATCATAACGCCAATTCAAAAACTTCAAAGAGCGGGAAACCGCGGCGGGTCCCGAGGCGAACGCTCCAATCTAGCACCTTCGGATTACTGGTTCACTAGTTCTGTTACAATAGTTTCCTAAGGTTCATGCAAATTTTATCCCTATGAGGTTCTACACCCTTCAGTAGAAAATTCGGCACTCTCAGCACTTTAATTTATCAGGTTTTCTTTCGACAACCTATCAGACTTAAATTCTTCTTCTCTTTTGGTCATTCCAAGTACTCAGACGCACTCAGTCACAAACTGACGTTGTCACAAGCAAGAGAACGACGATCGGATGAATTTTCGCACTTCATGACAAGTTTACAAGTTTCTCTTTTACGAAAGTAGACATCTAACCAAAGCCCATCCGAGCTGTCATGTCTTCGTGACATGCAACGATGTTTTCGCCACACGCCAAATGATCGGAGTACGATTTCGTTTAGGGCGTTTTCAGTTTTGGTGGCCGCTGGTCTGCGGCGAAAAAACATAAGCAATTGGATTATATTTGCTGATGACTTGTGGTTCTGGACGTTCAGACTTTTTGCGGATCGTAGTCTGAATCTGGGCTAGTCAAAAAGAGGAACTAAAAAAAAATTTTTTTTATTAGAAAGTTGGAATAAAAAAAATTCGTGTGGAAATTTATGAGTATAATTTATAGCACACAGGTATTCTACGTGATCCAGATGCTTTCAAAGTCTTTGGTTTAATGCGTCCAAAATCCATCATCATGAGTTAATATATTGCCTACCCAATGCTTCTATTTTTCGCACAGCTTCGAGGTTTTTTCCAGAATAGTAGAAATGGTCATGAGACATCACTTTTCTATTCCATACGAAATGGAAAAGGGCGTAAACATCTCAGAATTCGTGAAAACACTAATTTTTCATAATTTTTTACCCGTGACTAAGCGGCACTATGCCAAGTAACCTTTTTCTTCAAAAAATTGCTTCCTTCTAGTAGGAATAATCCAGAGTTCATCCTGAGAATGTTAGAACTATGAAGCTGAATTTTAAGATATGATAGCATAGAATAAGCTTACTGTATGACTACGGTAGGTATACGGTGGTTGAGACATACTATTCTTTCTTGGTAAATTATAACTTTCACCCGTTATAGGGAGCTAGCTCCATTACTTCAAATCTCCACAGTATTTTTAATAGAAAATGCCTTTTTTTCTTTTGTAACATTTTTCGATGTAGAATCTGCACATCATGCTATGCACAGCTTATCATGGCATTTGCCCCGTATAGATAACAAAACGTAACCTTAGGACAGGGTTTCTTTGCGCAGATCCACACCAGCGCTTATGATGACGCAAATTCTTGTTTATGAGATCATGAAGTGCTTCCGTACTTATTTTCTATGCGGTCTCTCCGTAAAATATTTAAACGAGTTCAAAAGTTTCGCGTGGCTATAAATATGCTCACAAATTGAATAGTACGTCTAAAATTGTACCATGAGTGCAAAATATCCGAAAAAGTCGGTAATTAGATTTTCCAAATGAACTCATAACATAGGGGTTGGGGGTAGGTGAAGCGGAAAATTTGGGGCGTGTTTTGTCCCGTAGTGGAAATAACACCGGATATAGTTCTTATAATGTACCAGTAGCCCATATTGAGTGGTTTTGAACTTGTCACGAGGCTTCTGACTTTTGAATAATTTTTAAATTTTTGGTCTATAATACCATTAGAAAAAGGAAATGCCCTACTGAGCAAGTTTGTGCACTATAACTCATTCCCTAATCTTTCCTAGCTAGAGATTTCCGTTATGTTAAAATGTTCCTTTGAGTCAGACTTTTTGGAAAGAAGCCAATTGAGACTCTCGGGATGGGATCAAATTTGTTGAAGTTGCGAAATAACGGAAGCTCGCGTGACAAGACATTGCCTTATTTCACTTAGCTCCCCCCCCCTCCCCTTCTCCTATTTTACTTTTTCTGTTGTCCTATCCGACCAATCCTACGTTTCAATTTTTTTCGGTTCCTCGAGAAATTCGATGCAGAGGGGGGGGGGAGGAGGAAGGGGCAAGTTTTGGGCATCGAATTCTTACACCTTAGCTCAAAATGTGTCGATTGGGCAACATTTCACCCTACCCCCCCCCCTCCCACTCCCCCTCCCTCCCCCGGTCTTTCCACTTCCCATTATCTCAAGAATTTTAACAACCCCCTCGGATTACTGAATTCACATTTTTAAGCTCGAAATGCTCTACACAAAAACACGCACGCCTTGCATGTCCTCGTAATCCCCCGCCCTCTTCTCCCCGACACCCGCGCTCTCGCTCGGCGAGTTCGCCGGGGGCGGGGCCGGGCTACCTCAGAGGCATCGAGACGAGTCTACTTGCTGTCGCTTTGTGTGCTTCGTTGGAGATTTTTGGTTATGCACTCGTAAACACTGAGCTCATTTAGCTACTCCAGTACTCTTCCAATGCTAGCATATTCATTAGCGGCGCCGGTGGTTGTGGGGCGAGTTTTTGTTATTTACTCCCCTCAGCGGGAAGGGGGTGAGAGATCTTGAGATCTCTTTCGGCCGTCGCCGAACACTCTCGGGAATTATTGATCCTGTTGTTTAGGAGATTTATGAACTTATTATCACATTAGATCATCTATAACTCTTCGAACTTAGCCAAAAATAAGGCCACACCACTCGAACATGCAATAACTTTGTGCTCTTTAGCCACCTAAAAAGTAAAAAAATCACCCCGCAAGTCCTTAGCCGTTCAGTCGGGGGGGTGAAAATTGCTAGTTAATCTTTGTCGAGAATAATAGAGTGTGTTTTCCATTTGTTCGAGGCCCATTCAAAGCGCTTCTCACGCCCTTGCGTGCTACACTCGACTTTTTAGTAGTTGACTTGTTCCTTTTCACAGAATATTCTTTGTTTTTCGGTAGAGTCGGCAAAAAACTGTCTGAAAGCGCGAAATTCCGGAAATGAGTGAGCTACTACAGGCATTCTCCTTTTTACAATTATCTCGAGAATTTGAAGCACGTAAATTTTTAATGTTGCCAGACACCTTCTTGAGTGATTACCATACCTCCTACCAATTTCCGCTATGAAAAAAGTGTTAATTTTTTGAAAAACAACAAAAAAAGGGAACTGTCACGAACACCACTGGAATCCCATGCTTTTATAGCATTTTTGAATTTCAACAGAGTATAGCCAAACATCAAAAATTGCTCAAAGGATTTCAAATGCCATTTTCTATTGGGCATAGAGTTTTCAAAGACTTTCATTTTTTTAAAATATCCCAGTAAAGCGATATTTTCCGGCTGCTCAAACAGCTCACTACTTTGAACATTCTGGAACTTTCACAAAATAAAATATCTCCAATGTCTTGTCTTGCATTACCTAAAGATGTCTGATCAAATGATCTGAGCCCTAATATGACTGCCAGTCCTTTTCCACGAAAGTTTCTATTGTCTATATGCAATATAAGATTTATTAGGCCAATTAATTCTGTCCATTGGTCACATATTTCCACGTAAATACGACATGGGCCCTTGAACCGTCTGGGTAGAACTTTGGTTGGCTGTTTTTTGATCTACAAAATGGCCAGGACTGCTAAAATTCTGTACCTTGAGAGATTTTTTGTCATCTTGAAGCTTCCAGAGATCAAGTCTAGACTCTCTATCTTATTTTTCTAAGTTTCTGCTTGCTTGCGTCCTTCCGTATTTCGTCGTATCGAAAACTACCTAGAAATTACTCCAGAAAGCTTACCTAACCCACATCTGTGAACTGAGAACACAACCGTAATGAGCATGGTGAACGACTATTTGATGTTTCGTCTCCTTATGGAGGAAAGTGAACTTCGTAAAGGCCAACGTCGTCAGAGTATGATCCAGCTACAACAACCTCGAGGTTCACTTTTCGTGCCAAGAACCTCGTACTCGGATGGCATGGGTGAGTTTATCGGCTGTGCTCGCATGCACGGATGTCTCAAATTTCCCCCCGTACGTCGGCGGGGAGTAGACAAGCTCAGCTCTAGCCTCGCCGCAGAATTTTCAAGTGAGAGAAAGGAAATGTGCAAGTTCCGCAATTACGGACAGATGCAATGATGCAGCTTTTTCAAAGCTTTATATTGGCTTCATCGCTTGGTGAAGAATGCTGAACACATTACTCATATAGGCTTGCAAACTTTTTCAAAAAACCATATAAAACTCTGCAAAAATGAAAATATTCAGTACTTTGAAGTAACATAAATGTTACTTAATGAAAGCTATTATCAGCTGTGTGAACTCCAGTCCACTTACCACAAACTAGTCAAGAACGCAAAATATTTGAATTTCGTCTGAAATGCTCAGAAAATGCAGAAAAAGCAGGGTTTCTAAAATTAGTCATTTTTTTATGCATCACATTTTCATAAAAAATTTGCATTCCAGAGCCGTTCTGCTCACCAATCGTCCCACACATTCCAATTCGACAACGTCTTGCAACACGAAGAGGAACAAGTGGTAAGGAAATAAATTCTTTGAAACGGGAAATATAGGATTTTTAGAATTGTATGGCCTAAAGCCATAGAGTAAAAATTGGGGTTAATAATCCCTTCAATATTGTAGGATGATTTTCACATATTGGGCAGCTTCTGCATTATTTCTTGCGCTTCAAAAAATGTATTAATTTTGAATCAAACAATTTCTATCTAAAGAAACATGAATAAACAAGAATATTTGAAAAATTTTCCCAGCATTACGAGCAAAAACCGAATTTTTCCCGTTTCTCATTTGAAATAAAAGCATGGTACAGCTCTCGATACGGTTCAGGGACTTTGTAGTAAGGTTTCTTGAGTGTTTGGTTCGTGACCAAAGATTAAGCTTAAAATTTTCGTACGAATCTGCATGGACTTGTTTTGCATGGGTTTTTGTCAAATTTGTCAGAACCAATAAGCTGCACGAGAAAAATCAAATTTGTCAGAGTTCAAAACATCAGCAGTTTTATTTGCGCGTCGAAAATTTGCATATTTCCATTGAAAGCAGGAATAACTTAGAACTTCTTCATCTGAAGTTGAATTACTTTGTTAAAAATTTAATCTACATTCAAAGAAAATCGTAGCTAAGGTTTATAAGTCCACATATTTCTCAAAAAATACCTCTCAGGTCGAAATTCCCACATTCTGGTTCGAAAGTTCCCATATCTTACTCCACAATCTCAAAACATAATTCATTTTGATAAATTACTTTCTCTCCACTGCGAAAAGCACTTTACTATGTTGATATATGCACTGTAGTACACCAATAATTCACTTCTGAATTGGTCATGTCTCCGAAGTGCCGCGGAGATATTTTATAAGACAATGTGCTTTTTCGGAACGACCCTAGGGGCGCATGAACTCAGCGAACTTTGCGGTTTTTGGTAATTTTCTTTACAGTGAATGGTTGTCGGGGCGAATTTGCCTAAGTCAAATTGCTTAGGGAGTTTTTAGGGGTTTTCGAGGCAAGTGGGAGTTTATGAATTTAGTAGGCGAATGGCAATGAAGAATTCATGCGCAAAAAGCGTGGTTTATGTGCAATTGCGTACCTGGTGACATTTATCTAGTAATCTGAGTTTTTCGCGATTCAGAGAGACAGAAGATCGAAGTGACGAAAAGCTCCAAACTAGGAAGTTTATAATATAGCTGTTATACTCAAAAAATCTTGAGAATTCAAGATCTGTAAGGCAGGAGATGTACGAAGTCTAAGAATGAAATCTGAAACTATTTTAAAAATCAAATAACTTCTTTCTCAATTACCCAACCTTGCTATGCACACTTCCTTGTTTACCCTTGCTTTTAGTCACTACTTTACTTTATTTAATCCTCTAAGATCCATCAACCTTGAGAAAAACTTTCGAAATAGAAGAAGCCATATGACACTAATCCTCAAATGGCCCTATTTTTCATAGTCATGAGGGCTCCAAGCCCAGACGGGGTCCTGAAAGTAATCCCTCGTCTAAAACACTGCTGTACAAGTGTTTCTTCCTGCTATGGTAGAAAATTTTAACCCGACTTATTTTTAGATTTTTCAGTAGAAGTTGGAGATGAACCACCACTGGTTGGTGGTTCTTATGCTGGTTCGGTTTACGGTCAACGTCGACGGCGAATGAGCCTTCTGCAGACACTACGTCAACAGAATCGTCAATTAAACGACAGCGGTCTCGACATTCATAATCGAAACAGGACTGACAGCGAAAGCACAAACAGAGGTGAGCTAATAGAAAAATAATTGGGAAACTAGTCATTTGCGTGGTGTGGGGGCGGACAGAAAGTGAATGGAGATCTGGAATTTTAATTGAAATCAGAAATTGTCGAATGGTGAGACCTAAAATTTTGATCGGTAAAAAAATCTCTAGATGGTGATTATATGGGGCTGTTAAAATCTTAGGAATCTTAGAATTCAACTGAGACGTCTTAGAAATCATTTTTTCTTTTAGGCTTAAGATTTTCGACCTTACTGGGGCAACAGTTCATACCTGCTTGAACCTTTCTTGGCTAAAATTTTGCCTTAATCATTTCTCTTGTTACCTCTTGAGGTTTGATCATCGTAAAAAGAAAAAAAAAGCAGTACACAGCAATAATTCTTCCCTTCCATTGCAAAAGGAGCCAAGAAAAGCTCTTTGACTTAGAAGGAATTAGAATCTGCTCCTCTCCCCTATCGCTCAAAAAACAAAAACAAAAATATCATGCAAAAACCTGGAGCGATCATAAATCAGGCTGATAACTCCTAATTCTAGAATAATTCCATAGATGGGCTCTAAGTGCAAACTTTCTCAGTAATTCTAGGAAATCAAGGGCGAACAAGCTATTGAAGTTTGTTCAGAAATCGAAATCATTACCTGTTTCTTTTTCAAATCCAAAAACTTGTATGCAGTCTAAGTTTTAGCAGTGATTTTTTATTAATTGTTGACTTAAAATTCTGAAAGTCGAACAATGTTTTCTTGGCGAAGTGCCAACTGAGCGCTCTCTTCTTCTTTCTATGGAAGACACAAGACTTTTCTAATTTCAGACACAAGCTCTCCACCACTGAATAAATCGCCACCAGCAGGCTCACCATCGAAGAAGCCTTTCGCGAACCTCAAGTCTAAGTGAGTTTGCTGCTTCTTTTTCTTGGATAGGGGAAGTGAATCCGGATGCCGAATTCTATCCTGACCGGGGAATTCCATAGAATCCTCAGAATTATTTTACTACCCTATATGGGAAATTATTGTTAGAAATGACAAGGCTCGTTGACGGCCCATCGGCACAACATTCAAGCAGTGTGCCCCTAAACAAGCTCGATTCGTCTCGTAAACAGCGACGCAAGCATTCGAGTCAATGTCAACATCAACTTGAAATTCAAATTTTCCTCCGTCGAGACTACAATGAGCTCTCATTGCTCTCAGCTGAGCTTAGATGGATGCTGTGCTGAGATATACAATTTACATAATGGGTGAACAAATTGGATTCATTTGCATTGTGCGAAAAAAGTGCACGGGAGCAAGAGATTTGCTCCATAAAGATATAAGAAAGTTTGCAGCTTTTGCAGAAATTCATGCAAATGTTACCATTTCTTACCATTTCCTAGCAGATTAAAAAATCCTTGTGATTTTTATGTCAATCTTCATTGGTTGGAAATGGGTTTCTGACATAAGAGTACAAAAAGTGCTAATATTTCAATCAGATTTTCGATTTTTTCGGCTACCTTGTCAGGTTGAAAGGCAAATGGAAGAAATAGAAACATACGCGGGAGGGTTGAGATTGATTTTTTTTCAATTCAAAAAAATTTCTGAGAATCTATAAAGAACAGGAAATTTTTTTTAAGTGGGAAGAAAAATAGTGCCGCTTAGATAAGAGGAGTGGATATCTAGCCGCCTCTTTTAAAAATATTTTTTTTGTAAAAATTGTAATGTAGAAGGGTCAGAATGGCATTGAAAGCCTATCTAATAACTCTAGCCAAGACTGGGACTGTCCCAATAAATCCGTTATTGATCAAATGAGAGATTTGAAAAAAATTTTCTGGTTATGTACTACTGTATCTGAGATCAGCTGTTGTAAAACACAAACATCACACATCTTTCTTCATTTCTGACATAATATTATAGGTCGTAAATATTCCCATTGGGTTGAATCATAATTAGAATAGCAAAACTGATTGATTGCGGCTAATTAAAGTCGTTAAGTTTGCATTTTCAGCTCGTTAGCCTAGTCCCAAGAGGTACTTGAGCTCAACTCCAACCTTTTTCGATTCTGAGTGTCTCTCAAAGTTTGTAAAGCCAAAAAGAGTGGCAGGGAGTCTTGAAAATCCCTGTGGGGCCGAAGTTTATTATATTCGTAGTAGATGTCCGACGTCATTGTCGCACACGAGTTGTTTGACAAGCTTGAATATTCGGACGGAATTTTGATGTTCTCCTGGGAACACGATGGGGCCTCGGGCGAGGCCAAATGCAAAAAAACTTGCGCACCACTAATTCAAATGCGGGCCAGGGCCAAAAGTCGAATCTCGAGTCCATGCCATATGGAGCTGAACTATGGTTACTTCGCAGAACACTCTGAACACTTTCGTGCGCTTTTGGCCCGGAAAGGGAAGGGGGAGGGAGAGAGGCCCAATAAACGGGCTAAGGACCAATTGTTCTTTGAGAAATTGCTGATGTCTGATCTTTTTAGGCTATTTGGAAAGCGTGACAAGCATCGTACGGATGCGACATCGTTCAATCCAAGTGAAGAACACTCTCAGTCATGCGACATCATCGGTGGTGAGTCTCTTAGAATCTTTCAAGGACAATGGGGAGTACTTTTAGGGCTTTATAAGTCCAAGGAGTTCTAGAGAGTGAGGGAAGAAAATTGGGTTAGATATAGACTATAGGCAAAGCCTATTCTCTTGATGCACTCAAAATCAGGGAAACTTTTTTATTCGCCCATTTTTCGTGGCGGGAGACATATGTAGCATGAACTTGGACAATATGTAGCATGTGTCTAGGGTAGTAAAATAGTACTTTAGCAGGCTATAAATCCAGAGCAATATAATTTTCGCAATACTCCGATTAAATGACTCCTTTGAGATATTTGATTGTACTGACTGAGCGTAGGCATGTTTTCCACTTCTAGGATAATAAAATCAAGAATAGAAGTTAACTCTAAAGCTTTTCGAAAAAGAAGTAAAGAGCCCTTCGAGGGGCTTAAGACTTTCCGAGAATACAAGGACCAGAACATCTCATAAATATTTATCCTTCAAAACTATGGGAAATTACTTGCCGGAGAAAATTAACAAATTCTCCACCAAGTTCTGAAATTACTCAAATTATTCGAGTTTACTCTTTTGTTCCTGATTTTCTTTGTCATCACACAAACTTTGAGGCTTTGAAATCACCAGAAACTTCTAGAAAATGGTTTATGTCCTTCTTTGCAATGCAAATTGTCCCGCAGAGCAATCTCATAGTTCGTCATCCGTCATAAAAAGGAACATTAGCAAAATCTTGCCCTGCACAAAGTTTTTTGAACTTTGAGAGACTTATAAGCTTGCTTAGACTTGGACATTTGCCAAAAAAATCCAAAATTATGTTTGACGATCTCAAACTTTCCAGAGGGGCAAGGTTCGTACGGATTGACCTCACGCAAAGATTTCTGAAATTTTACGAATTTCCTTCTATTTGTAGGTCGCTCACGAAAATCACCATCAACTACTAATGACAGTGGACGTGGCAGCCAAGCTCATTTGGATAATGATAGAGTGATTGGCGAAACGGTGGCAATTATCGAAAGACCAAATGACGAGAACGACGAGAGCGTGAAACCGTATAGAAGAATTCGTACAAGTGAGTTATAGGAAATCTTTAAACAATCTGAACCACTGCACAATCTTTAGAAAATTGGTGGCCCTGGTGAGGGGGAGGATAGGGGTTTTTTGGAAAGGTGTACCCATGTGTGTATGTTCTAGCTAAATATCAAGTCTAACAGTTTTTCGTGCAAGAAAAAAAAACAAAGCATTCTAACAGGATTTCCCACCAAAGATCAGGTATGTCCAATAATTTTGAAAACTCTTTCCATTCGAAAAAGGCAAAATGCGTTGGAATCATTAAAAATTATAGAAGAAATCACATAAGTAGTGGGAGCAGTGTGAAAAAATAGTGGCTGGGGGGGGGGGAAGAATTAGAGTGCTGAAGAAAAGCTATACACAGAAAAAAATTGTAGAAGCTATTTGTTCAGTTCAGAGCACTTCCTGTAACCTACAAATATGAAGTTTTATAAAAATTCAAAAATATTTTGATAGCTCAGAATCTGGAGGAAGGGAGTTCCAATCTTCTAGTGTCAATATCAATCTTACAAATATTCATTTTGGTTATGAAAGACGTTCTGTTAAGAATTTCCTCCGTTAAGTAGAACACAGCTATTTTCAGCAACATGATATCATCATATACCCTATAATAAAGCGCAGGGGGGGACCATCCGACGTCAACAACCGGCGAAGAATGTTTGCCCAGATCTCTGAGTTAATTCTTGCACTTTCACTTGCTTCCATACTGTTTACCGTTACGACTCAACCTAAGTGCAACCTATGACGTCATCAATGGTATGATGTTTTCTACCATCTTCGGTGCTCCGTCTGCTTCGGTGATGTTTATCTCGACGTCAAGCTAAATGCAACCCCAATTCCGTCGCCTACAACGCTGTTAGCGGTCGATTAATTTCAACCGCTTTACATTTTGCTTTATTCATTTGTGAAAATAAGCAAACGTCGGATAGCATCTTCAGGTCGGTGATAATACTTAACATTGATATCCGCATTACATCTCCTCAATTCTTTCTTAATCAGTGCACCACATAATCACTGTTTTTTACCACTAAACGTATCTTTACGTGCAAAAACAAAACTCAATATTGAACCTTTCCTTAATATCAAGCAAAATCATATCACTCATTGTGCATTTTCCTATTGTGCACTATTCTATTTTTGTCTTCATTACCAAACGTATCTCATTAAAAATTTTCAAATTTTACTCTGAAAAAACCCTTCTACAAGAATGAAGCAAAAGAAGCGAATGAAGCATGCTGAACGTATCTTCACATGAAAAATTCCTTAAACTCACTGTGAAAATCGAACCTCTTTGAGAAAATAGTCAAAATCAATACTGTGCCAACTTTCCAAATTGTTATCCACTAAGTGATTAAAAAAACATGGTGATGCGAATTGCCTTGAAACACTAAACGTTATACAAAAAGCTCACTTTGCAAGCAACGCAGGTTTTAAGAGAACACTTCATCTCAGGATTTTAAATTAATCCAAAAACTGAAAATTTCAAAAAAAACTGTAAAAGTTACTGTGATCGTGAGAGAAGTTTTGAAAAGAGCTACACGCTGTCTGTCTGTTATCAGTATACCAAGTGTGAACAAAAGAGATGGGAAGAAAGGGACGCTTCACTAACCATCAACTCAACCCTTGCTAACCTCAGGAACATTTAGCTTTTTAGTGCAATTTTGTCAGAACAATGCACTACCTCAAAATCGTATATACAGCGGTGATTTGCTTGAATGAACAGCTTAAAATTGGACATACGCTTCAATACTAGCTCTCTTTACGGAATTCGAGTCAATAGCCTACCAGGATGAGTTGGAAGGGTGCGCTTTAGAGCATTCCGGGTGGAAGTTATAGATTAAGCATATATCGTGAAGAGGAAGGGAGGTTTTTCCATTTAGGAAATTTCATAATAGTAAGTTAGAATTTTGGCTAAATGCATTCAAATGCGTTGAGTTGAATCCTCTTGCTGAAATCTCGCAAAGAATTCAGAATAGTTACTTTGAGGCCGATATGCATGAAAACCCTCCCAGTGGCAAAAAAAGAAGCGGAGTCCCCAATGTTGAAAAGTCATAGCAGTGATCGCCCGCGGCCCTTTTATGACAAGGGACGTCGCTTACTTCACCCCAGCTTTCATATGTGCCTTCTAAGGCAGTTCGTAGGGACAGTCGATGAGGAGAGCAGAGTCCGGGTGAAAACAGCCATGAAAATGTGCATAGCTGGGAAAAGCTTGCCGGGTTTGTGACGGCCACTTTGGTCAGAAAACTTTCGGATGTGAAAATTGGAGAGCATCCGAGGATTTTCGCAAATGTGGGAATGAGCAACTTTGGCAGCTACAGTTTATGGTGATAACGCTGAAATTTTGGTTCAAAACGGCACACCAACGCTTAGGGCTTGCGCTGCATTTCGCATTGCAGGAGGGTTCAAAGAAAAGCTGGGAACGGACAAGTCCTAACGCCGCAGACATGATGCAGAATCTTTGCGTTCGCAGCTCATCATATCAATTTTGGCCTGATTCGGTGCAGACTTTAAAGGTGTAAGGTGGCGCATTTTCAGCATCTTTGGAGCTAGATTCGAAAGCGATTGAGTAAGATCAAGAGGATTTGAAAATGCGAGAAAAGATCGGTTTTGGGCAGTTTATAAAGGAAACATTTGGATGAAAAGGGGGGGGGGGGAGGAGGCCAGTTTGGCTCAGAACTCAGGAATGACAATAAAACGCGAGTTGCAAAGAAAGCTGAGAGGAAGCGATCAATCTATCACTTTGGCTAATGATGTAACTTGGGAAACCATTTAAAGCAGGAGATCCTGACATTTAACTTTGATGATCTCCGAGTTCCTAAGAAATCATACTTTTGGAGGAGAAAAGGTTTCCACGCTCTAACTTTGAGAGTCATATCCCACTTCACACACACAGCCAGTCCGGAGCGCCGCGAAGCGGCGCTTCGGACTGGTGTACTCATATAATGAGAGTAACACTTTTTTTGCGGAACGAAGGAATTTTCTAGAATTTTTCGCAAAAGACCCGATAATTTTGGAAAACTAGTTTTGGAAATGGGAGAAAAGGCAGATTTGTGACTTTTTTGAGCACCAAAACCGTGAAAAATTACTCATCAGCCATTCCAGGTATTGTATATCAACAAAATCCCCTTTCGTGATGGAATCCACTTCCTTTTGGCAATCTTTCGTGATAGACATCTCTTCAAACCTAAATGGGCGTAAACATCCAATTAACATGCGATTCCGATCGCTTTCTACTTCATCTCTGTAGTAAATGTGCCCCAGACACGAACTTGTCACATTGCTTCTTCTCACGCCTTTAATTTTGAATTATATAGCCGGAACTTTCTCTCTTCTGCATTTATAGTGGTGTTTATGTCACGTGAATTCACAGCACGTGCATTTAAAGGACAACTCACACGAATGACATGAAGTCGGCGAAGCTTTAACTATAAATCTAAAGTACTTTGGATAAATATTAAGGTTAAGGGCTTTGCTTGGTCAACTTAGGGAACTTTTGGTATAATCCTGGGCCTAAGAGGGCGCAAGGGAAGTGAATTTAGGGGTTATGGGTCACTAACTTTGGTCTCGAATTTTAGAATGGAAATGAGTGAAACCTAAAATGCCCAAGGGATTTAAGTATGTAAGGGAGAGAGTAAGAAGAACGAAGCTTTCCAAGTCCAAATCGTTCAAAAAAGGGTAGATAAACCATCTTTAAACCCAAATTTTTAATCAAAACTTTTTAGGGAGCAAAATTCAAGAAAAGAAAAGGGGTTCTGACATGAGTTCCACTATTGTAGGAACCTTTGAGCAACTGAATTGTAAAGCAAGGGGAATGGAAGGAGGAGGGAGGGGGGGAGGGAATAGAATTTTAAAGTTTATGTATTGGATACACGCACTTTGTGGGGTTCAGGATTTTTTCCGCTCTTTTCTAACCCCCTAAAATTTTCCAGGTTCATGCCCAGATCTGTCGTCACTGCGCATCTCGTCCTCATCACCTCGTGCCCCTATCGTCGACTCTGAGTCCGAAGATGACGCAACAGCGGCTGCTGAACGAAATTCAAGCCCTATTACCGGTTCGTATTACACTCTTAATGGAGTTACCAACGATGCTTAGCCAAGAAGAAATCAGCGTAACTAATTTATGCGGAGCGGATGCACTCCCAAAAGGGATGGTTAAAGGGCAATGGCTTTGTTTTGCTAGAAGAAGACATTAGTCGCGCCCTCGAAAGTAAACAGGGAATGAATAAGCAGTAGAGCGGTTAAATTGTAAGCTCTACAAAAACAAAATGAATAAGCCTAAGACGAAAAAAAGTGGCCTGTTTGAACTCTTGACGTCAAATCTGACTGAGGAAACTTAATCCGCTGTAAACAGTAGTTCATTCTAAAAATAGCTCTCTCTTAAACGTATTTGCTACTCGAATGTAGCATTCTATAAGTACAAGTGCTATAAATTACTTTGTCTTAGTGACATTTCGGATCAGGGGATTAGGAATGGAAATGACATTTCGAATCAGGGCATTAGGACTACAAATCTTGTATTCTTCTAAAAAAAGGCCAACAGTATTGCAGGAATACGCGATTTTTTACTGCGAACATATATTATGAAACTCACGAATAATGCTTAACAGAACTCTTGATGCTCAGGCTCATGATGTGTGCAATTGCGTACTGTCGCATTCAGTTGACGAAGTACTGTTTGGGACGTAACGATTTGTTCAAAATTCACTAATTGGCTGACTCGCGTAGTGATAGAATTTGCCTCCAAAAGCTATAAATAAAAAATTGAAGAAATTTCAACAAACTTCTCAAACCGTTTTTCATTTTTTAGCTTTGTCATCCATTATTATCATTTACAACAACCTCAAGCACATTTTTGAGTGATGGATTTGAGAATGAAAACAAGCAAAAAATAAGGGCAGAGAAATGCAGAAATTAGTTCAAGGAATTTGCTACATATGAAGAAGAAACCTTTGAAAAACCTAAACTTTTCGTGAAAAAAAGGTTTCCATTTTTTCGCGCGTTCTGGACCTTTATAATGTCTGAGAACTGGTCTTTTCGGCTTTGACGTGGTCCATAGGAATCCAAAAAGCTCATGCACGGCACCAGTATTCCAAACTAGCTTTTATACGAAAACTGTAATAAATTTTTATTTTTCAGCCGCTGATTGCCTTGTCGAACGTCGTTTGATGCGTCGAGCGATGGAAGTCCAGCAGCGTCAACATCGTCCACAACGAGCACAACTTGCAATGTGAGCGATCCCCAAATGACGTCATCGACTCTCCTACTCTCCTGAATATTTTTTCGTTTCCGTGGCCAAAAATTTTTATTCGCTTGGCTAATCATTCAATGTGCTAATGTAATATTTTCTCAAAAATTACGATTTTTTCTGGGAAGTGTGTGACATTAGGGGGAAAATACTCAATACCCTAGTATGAAAACATATTATACAGAAGTCATACTAATATAAATGCTATTGTGTTACATTTACCGGTGAAACTCATCTGACAAACATAGAACTTGACAGATTCCGTAATTTTGCGTGTTTTTTGAAGCAAGCACGAGCAATTTGCTTCTGCTATACCTATAATTGTGTTTGATATACATGTTGCGTGTGTGAAATAAATTGCACGGCGTGATTTGTTGGCTTTGTTCTTTCCTTCCCATGTGGTTGACAATAAGGATCAGTTGTCCAGTCTTTGAAGTGGTGAATGCTTGTAGGAGTCCCTACTTAGGGAGTAGGAGAGCATCGGTTTTGCATTTTATTTATTTTAAGGTTGGAATTTATTTTTCAGTAGTGTAATGGCTTAACATTTTTGGGATGACAGATCAAAGGGCTCAAAAAGAGGAGGGTGGGGGACGGAGGGGGGGGGGGGACCCGAAGTCATTCCCCCCGACAATAAGGGAAGAAAATTGCTTACACCTTAGCGCTAAAGTGTAATCTAGCTTCGAGATATACCGTGAATATACCGTAAGCCATGGGGTGACTTGGCTGCGTCCTCTGATTGGCTGACTGTTCCCTACGGTGTACTGTACCACTCAATACCGTAATCTTGGCGAACTGTGTTGATATGAACTTGGCATCACTTTGAATTTGGAAACAAAGTACTTCGCGATATTTTCTACAAACCAGAGCCCCTAACCTTTGATTACGCATAATTGGTGACGCACTTGACCAAATGAGGGAATTGTTTCTCTCTCACCATATATTTGACTTGGCGAAAACGCTATAATCAACTTTCATGCGCTTCTCAGCATGGCCTGAAATAACCTTTGAAGATTATTCTTATAAAACTAAGGAGGGTGCCATAAACATCTAGGCCGGAACGACTTCGAACGGAGAATCAGTTTTTGTGACTTTTGATCTCTGTGCATAGAAATTTGAAGTCTTGCTTAGTAGTGTAGTCGATCGTTTGTAGTCTCAAGAGTTTGTTATTAAGTACCAAATTATTCAATTCTATTCTAAAGTGTATAAGTCTTCGCATGTACTGGGGATAATGTTAAGAATAGTTTTGAAACTCGTTGGATTGTTATAAGTAATTATTATCCAGAATAAAAAACATCAAATCAAAAAAAATATAAAATCAAATTTGTTACCCTTTCTGTTTATATGTATCCACTTCTGAAAATTGAAAGAATTTCCCTAATTCAGGGACGAAGTGGCGGTGGACGAAGAAGATGAAGAAGTGCATGAGTTGAGAGAATTATTCAAACGTGAAGACGATGTGATCAGTCGAGCGTCAGGCATCTCAAGGAGGTGAGCCGGGGACTTTTTGATAAAATGCTATCAGTAGGCAACAAGAGAAGGGTCAGTCTAAAAAAAATGCAGCGTAGAGGTAGCTTTCAAAAATTTCAGTAACGCTTTGTCGGCGTCAGCTGTAGCTTAATCAAAAAGAAAATATTTGGCAGCAGATTTTCACATAACGACTGAACCCTATCAGGGCTTGATGTTGAGAATGTGACTTTTCAACACTTTGCGATTTCGTCTAAGGAAAACGTTTGTGGTCTAAAGTCCAGTGATCGTAGTACTCATGATTCCAGATCGAACCAAACGGAAGATCTTGCCGATTTTGACGACAACATCTCTACCATCGTTCTGGATCACTATTTGCCATTGTCAAGAAGCAGTCGTAAGTTTTCATTTAGAAAAAAATACAAATAAACTGCTCCATCTGCAAATGAAGATTAATAGAACCAGGGTCAAAATACAGATAAAAAGCTAACGTCTACGGAAACAATACAGTGCTTGCTTATAGCATTACTTTTTTATTTTGGAAAAATGCATGCACATCTTTGAGCAAGGGATCAAACAGATAGAAAAAAAGAATTTGGAAATGGGTGCAGAGTTATAGATTTAAGCTGATGAAGTCAGATAAGATCTAAAAGTACGAAAAAATTATATTGTGCAGACGCTCCCATTGTTGCTACTAGTTCTGAAGCAAATATTGAATTACAGAAGCATTTTATTCTTTAAGCTTTGAAAGTTCACAGGAAAGCTTCTATTTTCAACAAATTTGCATTGTTACATGCAACTTCCGTATTCCCAATATTCCCATCTTCGCTATGGTGAAGTGGAGCGAGAACGATGTGTTTGTTGACTCATTTGAATCCCGACAAATAAACATTCACGAACGCGCCTAATTTGAAATTGATGATCCTTAGATGGTTGCAGATAATTGCTCCGATTTTCCAACGTTGCAGCTATTACTTCTCTTAGAAAATTTGAACTTTTCGGGAAGATCAAAATTTCTAGGCAACGATGCTTATCTTTTGAAAACTTTGCTCAAAATCTTTATAATTCTGAAGGAACATACTCTTTTGACTGATTCCGCTTATTTCAAAGAACATAGCAGGAATACATTTCCTACTTGTGAGTTCAACTGGGGAAGCGTTTAGAGACAGAAAATTGCTGCAAATTCTTGTGTTCTCTCGTTTCAAGGCAAGGTACATTTTGTTATAGCAGCCCTTGAATAGTTCCTTCCACGAAGAGCTCCTTGTAGACCATTAAATTCATCTGTTTCCTTATGAATAACATAATGTGGACCCTCTGGTCGGCTGCGTTGCTATTAATCCAGTTTTTGGCCAATCATCGACAATGATGGTGGTTAATAATATATATATAGCATTCTATTAGCTCCGTGAATGCATCTGTAGAGTAGAATGAATCAAATTCCTATTACTGCTATCAGAACTGATTACGCTGCTATCATGACATGATTACTTGCAAAAAATACACATAATCCCAGAACTTCAATTTTTTCAACTGTTTGAATCTCGCATGAGCATAACTTGTAATTTGGGATTCCTGCTTTCTAAAAGAAATTACATGAACCATCCCAACATTTAAATTCGGCCACGAGCAGCTCTGGATTTCTCTGGCACATTCCCGGTTGCAACTGAGTTCGCCGTCATCATAACCGTAGTCATCAATTTTGAAAACTTTTTATATACCTTTTCGTAATTTGTTTATTTCGTTGAAGCGTATGTGTACAGCACGCAAATTCCTCCAGTCGATAAATCAGATGACACATTCGTAAATTTCCGAACAGTTTATGAGCGATTCTGGGTATATAGGCTATTTTGGGTGTTATAGGCTCCACTCCATAATTCAATCTGCCTTCCTTGCATGAAATGGCTAACTACGACTTTATGAAGTGGGAACAATTCCTTACAGTTTACTAAGTAATCAGCGGAAATTCAGAAGTAGTTTTTAGAAAAAAAACAAATATTAGGATAACATGTGACTTCTCATTTGCTTTCGCTTTCTTTTCGTCATTGTCTTCTCATTGAATAACAAATTTTTCGGCTCTAGCATATAAATTAGTAGTTTTTTTGGTTGCATGATTTTTGCAAGATAGAAAATTTTGAAGAAAACTATCAAATGAGATTATGGACAGCAAATAAGTCGAGCGTTACATTAGGGACACTTCTTGGAGCAACTGTTATTAAGTATCTATCTAAGCTAAGCTTATCGCTTGATTCAATAGGTTCACACTTGCATTCTGCTATTTAGTATTTCAGCCAGAAAGACAACTGGTCATTTGATGCATTATCTTAATTATTAGAAGATTTTAGAAAAATACCGATATAACCTTCAACAAAAGTTTTGGTGGGCTCCTATGCTTTTGAAAAAAAAAACTTCACTTTAGAAAACTTTAAAAGCTGCGAATGCTTGCATTTTTAGCAAATTTCAATGTCATTGCTTGCGTGCCCTAACAATATTTTTTTTCAATCTAAAAAGCTTCTGATAGCCTTTTTGATTAGTCGCTATATCTTTTGAACGACGCTTGCTGTGTCGTAACCGATCCATAATACTTATGGCTTAGATTTTGGAGATTTCAGTCGCAGCTATTGAACGGAAATACGCAGTAACCCTGGAATTCTGCTCCACAAGTTCAATATGAAAAGCCAAAAAAGCGAAAAAAAACGGTGTGATTTACATCATAACGCTTCAGCGGTTTACATACAGTTTCTGACTTCCTGCTCCTACACAGATACCATATAATTTTTCCATACTTTCAAACTGAAAACCCGTTTGGTTTGTAAAAAAATTTACCGATGAGCACGGGAGGTGTGACTAGAATTCAGTGCTCAGTACTTAAGGTGCAGGCTTATTACAAATCTTGTTGTGAAAAAATGGAAAAAAATCCCAGCACAATCTGTGGCCGTATTCATTAAGCCTACCTACTGGGTAGCGGAACCCAGTGAGTTCCGCTATGGCTAGGCTTAACTTACAAGATCGGTATTCAAGAAGCTATTGGGTCCGCAAACCCAGCAGTGCTTTCTGTGAATATTGCCACCCCAGTAACACTGTTCTCGGTTATCCATTGGGTAGAGGAACCTATTAGACTCGTTGATGAATACGGCCAAAGATTTTGGGGTCCCGCCAAGCTATGGCATATGAAACGTTGAAAAATATCCTTCCACCGATAATTTCAACGTTTCATTTCCACTGCAGAGGTTTTTCACTGCACGCAGGAAATGAAGCAATTTGCATGGCTGCTTTTCATTCCGGCGCTTTTTTCGTCGAGGAAATAAATATGTGTGAAAATCACAATTTTCTGCAGGAAATCGTATAGAAATGTACTCACGGTGAAAAAATTCCATGTTCAGGGCAGAAATTCTCTACGTCTGTGCTTTAATGCCCACTTCTTAAATCGTGTTCATAGGCTCATGTAGCCGCGTATTTCCCGCCAATTTGCGCGCTATGAACAAAGCCTTTTCGTTAGCCTCCAAGAAAAGTTAAACTTAGAATCAAAATCAGCGTGGTGATTCTCGGATTTGAGCTGTTCCTGTATATTATCCCTACGATGTCACGACCATTAATTTTTATTCAATTTTTTCAGAAATCAATTACGACGAAGACACGCTTTCATCCGAATTTTCGTTGAATCTGGTTGTTCGGGAAGAGACCGAGCCCGAAGAAAGGTAAATTTTTCTGGAAAGTTTAGGGCCAGTTTATCTTGAAGGCAAATATATGAAAGGGAAGCCTGTAAAAGAAGTCTTTTGTAGCAAGTTAGAATAATGATTTTCAATAGTTATTAAGATTAGTTACATAGGTGACAGAATTCTATATTATGCAGTCATAGAGTATGTGGCCTCTGGAATTTTTTTGGCACATTGTAATTTTTGCAAAACTTTTTAAGGCTTAGCTATCTGTCATTGTAAATATACGGAATACAAATACAGCGTATTGAACGAGTTAAGAAAGAAGTAAGTAAAGCGTTTGAGAATAAGCTTTATCCTCAAATGCTGACGTGCCTATTTCTATTTTCTACTTTTTTACTGCTTGTTGGGTCTTGTATAGCCCCAAAGAACAACTGAAAATAGGGTAAAACGTAGGATTTGGGTAATCCATACGCTAGATGTCAAAAAGCACCACGTTGATCGTGAATCATCTGCATCGCCTTGACTTTTCGAGGGAAATGGCCCAATCTCTTGGGATTTTTGGCCAGATATATCGCTTAGCTATGGTTCAGTTTATGCGCCACGATCTCGTCGATCAACAAACGCCATATGTCATCTTAGCCATTCATGCAAAATCTCAGAAATTCACTGCATTCATAGTCCTGGAGACCGACATTTTGGCAGGGTTGCACGAGGCACTAATTTTGGAAGTATTCTGACTTATACTTACTTACTACATACTTCAAAAATTTCCCCTTGGTTGCAAAAAGCTAACTGTCATCTTTTCCTACTTTGAGTGATTCAAGTACATGAAACTTAGAAAATGGCCGCTTGACTTATCAAACGCTTTGAAGTTGAAAAAAAAAGGTTTTCCTGCCTAGAGCTTAGTTTCGCTCATCCTATCCTCTTGCGGTGAGCAATAGATAATTCGTTTTATTACTAACCAGTGCGTCACCTCTGCTTCGCAGAGGCTCGCACTGGCTCTACTATCTATGTGCCTTACTCATTCTCGTAAAATCATGGCACTGGAACTCACCGCGCTATGCCGGCTACCACGAATAAAATGTAAACAACCACTCATTTAGAAAGTTTTTTCACGTGAGATCGGTGATTTCGCGTAGATGAAACTTTTCGCAGGAAGACAAACGCAAATTTGAACAGGTTTTTCGATTTGTCATGGCATGGTAGTCGCCATAGAGGTAATAGTAGCCGTGAGCTACATCTTTGTGCGAAAATCTCTCAAAAGCTTGGCTAGAACCTTGGCAAATTGACCATTTACACAACCTATTCGTTTTGGCGCCCTTTTCGTTATGTAGTAAACTTTCGACCATTTCTCGGGCTAAGCTCCATCGCTTGTACATTTGCTTACCAAACTCATCCACGGCTTTGCAAAAAGCGTTGATTCGGACCCAATTTTGCGGGCCAGAAGCCAAGTGGATCCGTTTGACGCGCAAATTCTGAAGGATCCACCCAGCGAATCCGTTCGTGCTTTTGCATGGTGGAGTTCTACATTGGTAGCATGCGCTATGCAAAATTTGAGCTCTGGATGTTGGCTGGAACCCGCTATATGAATTTCGTTACAGACAGACAGACAGACACACACACACACAAAGTCACGTAAACACCCTTAGCCCGTTATTATAATTACTAATATTAGATGTCAAGTTCAGTTTATAATATCAATCTTAAGCTACGGCAAAAGTAAAATCTCAATAAACTGCTGTAGTCAATTAGAAATGTTGTCGTTTTTCTGATTTCTTCTCATCAACTCTTTGTATCATAGTAACTCAGTCAGATATCTCATATCTTTGCGAAAATCTTGATCGGTTTAATGGAAAATTTGTTTGGTCAAACATTTGAGACTCTTTCATTTGCTATTCACTCTAGATTTTAAGTGTTTATAGTACGTATGCAGACCTTGGCGACGAATTTTTCTAACTCTAACCATTGGTACGATCATGGTGTCAGTATCATCTTGCTTTTAGAAATATGTTGTCATCTTTTGAATTCTTAGTTAAAGATGAAGATACAGCGTACACTGTTAAGTTTTCTAAAGTGCAGCTCTGTTGTAGTTTTTTTTTCAAGCATACCGCTAATTTTTTTCAAAATTCCAGGTTGAGAAAATAATTTGTAGCTTGCAATACAAGGACTGAAGTCAACCTCACTGACTTTTTTGCTGGAGAGAACATAGAAACAATTGCTAGCAGCATACAGTAGAGAGTTTGGCTAGTAAAAAAAACTCTCCCGAGGTCGACAAAACATTTTGAACTTGGAAAATGTTTGAACTAAAAAAAGTCTACTACAAATCTGTGTAGCTGCTTTTCTTCTCTTCTCCAAGCCTGAAACATTTCAGCTCTGGAACCGCATCGTCAACGGTACAAACAGATCTTTCACTGGTAAACTTCGACGAGGAACTAGCCACATACCTAACCAAGCTGAACGACGGACGGCCCATCAGTCCGGAGGTAAGCGAGGTTTTTGAAGAGGAAGGAAGAGGAAGTAGAAGAAAGGGAGGTAGATGTATGAATAAGAGAAATGTGGAAGCGAAAAGAGAAGGAAGTGCCAAATTGTGTGTTTGTGGTTTGTTTTTGAGATGATAAACCAAAATGTTGTGCCTGTGAGTTACCGTATCTTTATAACTACAGCAAATGGCGCACTTCATAGACGGTAAAATAGTTCAGGGCAAGAGATTCACATCACCTTCGTGATTCTTCGCATAAAATCCGAGAGATTCTTCGTAGGGTGTCCACAAAAGAATTATGGTCATAAACAAAGTTGGACATACTACCTTAGAGTTATACACCGCTTCTACAGTCAGCGGAACTGAATCTGAAACGCACAACAAAAAAAGAATACAATAAAAGAAACAAAGCATTGAACCAACACTGGGATGCGTATAATTTGGAGTTGAACGATGGCTCCGCTTAAATCCGTTTAAAATCACTTTTTATTAACGAAAAAAGAAACCTTTGATCTGAGATTTAGTGCAATTACAGAAAAGAGGAAATGTAGCAATGAACATCGTCCCTATCCCGTTGACAGACTTTTTCCTGTCTTCTTCATTCATCCCTTTTGAAAATACCTTTTCAAATTGCTTCGATCTCGTTTGAGTTTGAGTTGCAGAATTTGCAAATAATAGTGCGCGATTACTATGGATTTCATTATCGTGCAATTGCACACATTATTACCACGCCTCCCAACTGCAGTGCTAACAGATGACCTGAATAAAGAAGGGAAAAACAAATTTCCGTGTAATTATCTAGGCGTTCAAAAAACATTTAGATCTCTTTTTGGAGATGTTTAATCTATGCTGAGCTCCATTTCTCGGTGAGCAGGGAAAAGTTTATACGTATTTTCTCGGAATAAGTCTTGTCTAAATTTTGACTTCCTGTCCTCCAGTCAAATGCAACATTGCGATCTGCAAATTTAGTAGAGCTTGTTGCGAAGCTTGCATCTTCTGGAAGTTCGGTTGATTACGGCATATTCAGCCGCTCTGAGCAGAGACAAGCGCACAATTGGCCGCGTTGATTCGGTTGCGGTTGTGTTCGGTTTGAAAAATTTATTTTCGTTCCGGCTTCCAGATCCTCTTTGCTTCGGTTTGCAACAAATTACTGTGCTTTTGAATTTTTGAACTTCCAAAATCTGAAGATTCAGCTTTTCTCTACTTTTTAGAAACGAAAAAAATGTCCAAATGTTTTGTGTAGATTTATTTCTATGCGATTATGCACTTTTTAGAGCGTAAAATCCAGTTTCCACCAAGATTTGAATGCCTTAAGACTCTCTGAATTGCAGTAATATCGCTTGGAGCACGTTTGTTTATTGTAATAGTTAAACGAAAGTTCAAATGCGTAAAATTTTTCCTGCTTCAAACTTCAAACGACTGGTTTTGTGGCGTTACCGGGAAGGGCATAACCATTTGTTCTACAAAACTCCGACACGTACTGGTTGCTGAAGGAACAGTTGGTATTACAGACAGCATCCGCAATTTTCTAAAAATTCTGATAAAAATTAAATGCCAAAACATTGGGACAAAAGTCACAAATTTGGGTCAAAGTGCTGCGGAAACGCTACGATTTTGCAGCATTTCCGCAGCGCTTTATGGAAAGTGCTGCGGAAGTGCCGAATGTTGATCTCTCTGACGTCAATTTCCTTAGAAACCCCGAATTTTGGGACGTGCACTTTTTCAGTGGTTAAGAAAATGCTGCGGAACCGCTGCAAGTTCTGCTTGTTCTGTGGAAGTCCCGGTAAATTGTCGGAAAAAATCTTGTCTTTATGGAAAGATGGTGCTTTCTTAGAAATTTCTGGTGCTTACCTTCACATCGAGACCCTCGCAACACTTATCATCAATATTGACGTTGACTATGGGGTTGTTGGTCCCATTGACAGCAGCTTGATCACAACATTTATCCTCGATATTCACATTGACTATGGGACTACTTGAAGCGACGGTGAATAGCACTGTCACAAAGACAATAATGATATGTGAACTCATGGCTTTCCAAAAAGGCCAAATGGAAAGCTTAGAGGGGAGTATCGTTTCGTTCTCCTTATATATGTTTGATTAGCTTCTAATTACCATAATAATCAATTGCTTTATATATTTTGAACAGCACTACTCACGAAGGACACCATTCTTATCTATGTTATTCAAATTAGTTACATAGGACAACGATCTTTCCCACGTTTCTAGAAATTCATTTCTATGACTTCGTTTCGTCTGCAGTATAGAACTTCACAAATATTTTGCAGCACTCGATGATTTTTACACAACTCAGACCTACACAATTTGCATATTCTCGCTACCCTCCCTTGTTTTACATGGTAAATACGACATATGAAAATAGAATCAATTTGATTGGCATATTTGGACCGGAGCATTTGTTTTTGTGCGGGATAACAGCCTTCCATTCTAGGCTTTTGTTGATTGAACGGTGGGCCTTCTATTTTTTTAAGGGGAGCAGGGAGAATTTTCAAGAACTTATTGAGAACTTTTGAACTATTCGAACATCCGGTTGTTATTCATCTTGTCCAGCGTTCGATAAGCCGTGCCACAGCCCACAAAGGAAAAAATTATATCAAAAAAGCTGAGAATGAGAGAATCAAATTCCTCCGCACAACGCTAAAATGAAGTGATTTGGGACACAATTTCAAAATCTGTGAATAGGGAAATTCGACATGGATATCTTCTTCTGTGTTGTGTTATGATTACATAATCATCGCTCTAAAAGCTACTGCAGGACGAAGGCGCAAAGGCACTACTAGTTGAGCGGGCGCGAATGCGGCGCGCACGTGTCTGCCCCGTTGTAAATCTGGCGCTGCCCCGTGCGCTCTGCGGCTAATGAGGCCGCATTAGCGGCCGAAGATATTGCGCCTTTGTCGTGCAATAGCCTATGAATTATCATCTTTAACTGTGAAAACAAAAGCTACTTACAGACCTGTGATTATACACATAGACTGAATGTGCATTAAATTTTGCTAACTTTAGAAACATAATGTGCAATTACACACTCTGCCATCCACATTCCCAGTTTCACAAAAGTTTCCTTTCTACTCAAACTGGCCATCCGAGATGAGATATATCGTGCATTCCCATGATTGTTTCCATAAGTACTATCAATGTGGCTGCCTTTCGATCGTTTTAACATGTCAGCGAATAAGCGCCTTAAAGGCGTGGCTTGGGGAAATTGCTTCTGATCCGCTGAGTCCGAGACTATACTTGCAAAGTCAAAAAAATGCTTCTTCGGGAGGCTGGAAGAGGGATGCCCGCCAAAAACAGCGACTGGCTGCACGATACTGTAACTCCACCCATTTTGGCGGCAATTGGCTAATCGGCTCAGGCAGGCAATCGCGTCTCAGTTGGCGATCGCTCGCCCATCCCTCCAACAATTTAAAAAACCGGAAAACGCCATGAAAAGCACTTTTTCGTCTTTTCAAGTATAGCCCTGGACTCAGCGCAGGGCTAAGAAAGGACGGAAAGCTCGTGGTTGGAATTTTCTCGAGCCACTGTCTTTGACCCCAATTACATCATCTGGGTTTCGAGCGTCTAAAATGTTCACCATGCCTGTTTTTGCATTGAAAACGCTAACGTAGCTCAGAAATTTGAGTATAATGTTCAGAGGCTTTTCGACCACCTAACATTATAATGACACACGCTGACTCTGACAGCTAAATAAACGCTTCAGTCTCACTGTTCGAAAATATCGACGAGGCTGTGTTTGCTTCCAGAAAAGATACGCCGAACGTTTATTTGTTGTATGCAGTTTAAGAAACAAATCTTCGAGGGCTGATATCCATCGGCTTTAAATTTTAAACAACTGGTAGTTGTCTACCAGCACCCGCACAAGGTACTGTATGACCCTGTGCCTGGCAAAATTGCAGTATGGTCTGTTGTCTATAGTAGTCACCTGGGCACGCGCAGTTGCTATTGCAGACAACATCGGCAAGTTTCTGAAAATAACGTAATAAGGGCAATTTAATCTTTGTCCCTTCTGCATATCCCTCCCCCGTGATCATCTATCTTTTTTGGCTTCTCAAAAATTTTATTTAAACGCAAATATCCTTCAAGAGCTTACAGCTACTGATATAGTGAAACCAGCTTTTTCGAAAGTTGATGGTCAGTTTCTCTACTAAATTTAGCGATTTTTGGAAATTCGCAATTTGGCCCTTCGTTGGGCCACAGGGGAGTCTCACGCGGTTATTTTTTGGAAATTTTTTTGCCGCTTACCTTCATATCAGTGCCATCGATTTTGACATTGATATCGACGATGGGGTTACACATGGCAACTGGGAATAGAAATACAAAGGTCACAGTGTTGAGCAGTCTCATAGTTTGAAGTACCGAATGTAAAGCACGGAATGTGCAGCAATCGTTTCAGTGCTTCTTATATACTGTACTAGTACTGTCTCAATTTCATCATCCAAAATCATAACAATAATTTCCTGGTCTGTTTATACAGATGCATGGCTTGCTAGAAATTTTTTACCAATGTTATGCAAATTTATCAGTTATATGGGATAGGCTTTTTATGTTTCTAGAAATTTCATTGTTGCTGTGTAACTTGTGTTTTGTCTACTTCAAATTTCAATGTACATTTAGCTCGATCGCTCTTTGTTTTGTAGCATTTATTAAAGGGAATCAAATGTTCTTTGCTACTCTTCTTGTTTTAGCAAAAGTAGATCAGGCTACAGAACTTATACGAATGTTTCTTTACACTAATTGTCTTGTAATAATGGCTCTTCAATTGAGCGGGGAAAGGGGAGATAATTTTTTTAATCGTTTTAATAAGTCTTGAAACTAATGAAGGTCGTTTTCGTTGGCAAACAAAAGGGAATGTGTACAACCTTTTGATATTTTTGTGACCTTCGCTTGAACAGAACCTTGATGTTTGTATTTTTAACAGCATCTTATCCCTAATTCGGTGATGAGTTTTAAATACATTAAATTGTACATTTGGTTTTGTCCACACTTTTAGAAATTTTGAACGCTTCAATCCCATTGTTCGGATGTCGACGAGGTTGTGTGTTTGTTTTCAGAAGAGATACGCAAAACGTTTATTTGTTGTAGCAGTTCAATCTTCAAGCACAAGGCATTTTTGCTTCCAGATTCTAAACGACTGGTTGACTTCTGCCAGTACCCGCACAAGGTATGGTATGGCCATGTGCTTGGCAAAATTCCAGCATGGTTTGTTGTCTCTGGTCATTTGTGCACGCGCAGTTGCTATTGCAGACGACATCAGCAATTTTCTGAAAGTAATGTAATAAGGGCTATTTATTTCTCTCCCTCCCCCCTTCCCCCCATAACTATCTCTCTTTTTTTCTCAAAGTTTAGTTTAATCGCAAATACCTTTGAGAGCGTGGAACTTCTGATAAAATATTCGTCAAAGTTTTCTGAAAGTTGAGTGTCAATTTCTGTATTGAACTTGCGATTTTAGAAAAATCTCAAATTAGTCCTTTGTTTGGCTACGTCGGAAGATGCAAGCGTTTTTTTTTTGAATTTTTTTTTTTGCCGCTTACCTTCATGTCAAAACCGTCACAGCACTTGTCCTCGATATTCACATTGACGATGGGGTTACACATAGCAACTGTGAACAAAGTTAATGCCAGGTTGAAAGTAAGCTGTCTCATAGCTTTTTGATTAATAACGGCCAAATTGGAAAGCTCAGAACAGTTGGTGCAACGGTCGTTTCTGGGTTTCTTATATACTGTCTCAAATTAATCATCCAATAATCATAACAATAATTTTCTTGCCGTTTATACATACATATTTGGTGCATGGCTTGCGAAAAATTTCTCACTAATGTTATGCAAAGTCATCAATCATACGAAAAGAGCTATTTTTGGCTTCTAGAATTTTCGTCGTCTTTTTGATTAGTATATGTTTTGTCTACTACAAATTCCAATGTAAATTTAGCTCGTTCGTTCTTTCTTTTGTGACATTTGTCACTAAAGGTTATCTTAAGTGTATCGCTACCCTTCTCATTTATTTTATAGCAAAAATAAATTAGGATACTTAACTTGAACGTTACTTTACAGTGACTGCCTTGTAACAATGGCTCATTGGAAAATAATAAATAGAAATTTGAAAATGTCTTGAAAGAATAACTCAATTAGGTCGCAGAAATTTTGAAAATTTATGAAATGTATATTTAATTTCCATAATTCAAAAATATCAAAAATATCAACGTTGATGAGAAAATTTCCGCGACCGAGTCAGTTTTACCCTCTAAAAAAACTCTTCGATTAGCTTCTATTGTGAAGCGAAACGATTCCGAGCTCATTTTGCTGTTTTTGCGATAGCTCGCGACTCTAAATAAATCTAATAGTCGCCTGACACAATCTGCGCGGTTCATTACGTTTGTTTTCCATCTTGTACAGTTATGTTCTTTCGCGTTTTAGAAGCTAAATAAATATCGTAGCATTGGGTTTTCGGTTTGGAAAAAATTTTTATAGATGTTTGTCACTCTTATGCAGACTCTCGAATAATTAATCTTAAGCTCACGTATTCACTCAGTTGCGTAGTAGTGAGTCTTGCACATGACTGCTTCCGACAAATTAGCGGAGTATGAAGAAATTTCTTCCGTCTGGTTGACTCAAAGTTCAACTCTCAACCTTGCTGCTAAACTTCAGAAACCTCTGATGATTTTTTTCTATGTCCAACGGCGCAAAAACTACCACTTTCGAGGCAAATGATCCCATCTCTGTTTGCTCAAAGTGAGTGAAACTTCGACAAGTCTTAAGCAAACGGTCACGCATATAAATATGCTCTGACATCTCGTCATTTCTTTGTCAATACTCATTTTTCTTAGAAAAAAATTGTTTTTGTGAGTAAGAGAGAGAGAAAGTTCAAAAGCTTGATATCGACGCTTTCGATAATTACAAAATTTCACGTAATTATCTACCCTAGAGCCATCCTTTTGCTTTTTGGGTGTCAGAACAATTCCAATTAAGCTCCATTATGGTCGGAAAAGTACATTTTGTTAATAACCATGACATGGCAAATAAAATTGCCTTGCCAACTCTTATCAAAACTGATAAGGTAAAACTATTTTTGATTACTTATGTACTCGAAAAATTCCTATTCTACAATCTCTATCTTCAAGATTGCAAATTGCGAAAGAAATCCAAGTTTTTTTTTATTTTCAAAATAAGACACCGAAGTTCAATATAAATGACTTGAAAATGAACATTGAAACAACTATAACCTTGAGAATAATCTGAACTAATATTTGAGCCCCTTGATTGGAAATCAACCATCCCAGTTATAAAACAACTTATTGCGAAATTCGGCAAATGAGTGAAAAATTTTGCGAAATATGTCATCCAACATTAAAATCACTCTGATTCTTTTCAGCTTAGAATTTGAATCTGTGAAAATTTTCGTGATATTTCGTTCTTACGTTATATCACCAAAAAACAATTGTAGCGGGGTTAAAACAAGATTATTTTCCCTAGTGTTTGTTGTGCGCTCTGCAGCTAACCTCATTTCTTCTAAGGTGAGGCTATGCTTTCCTCTTGGGAAATCTGGAGAAAGCCCCTACTATGCAATTTTAGGCAATACATCATGTATCCTTCACTCGAGCTTTTACAAATCCAGCCCAGCGAGTATGTAGTTCATGAATCGTTGCTATGATGCATATGTAATAATTCATGTTCGCCCCTAGGTTTTTTCCTCTAGCACGTTTTCGTGTTGTGAAATTTGGACGATGTCCCCTACTCCACGTTCCTCTGTTGTTTCGGTTAGAGTAGGAGTAGTAGCTTGAAAAAGGCTGATTAGGCTAATTTATGAGGATCTAACGAAGCCAATGCAGACTGTCTGAACGAGGGTGGCGTAAACGATATTTGGCCAAATACTCACTACCTTAACCTAAATAAGTAAGATAGAGCTAATTCGAGAAATCTTTGCTATACAACTTGTCTTTTTTCCTTGCTTGTAGGCAATTACCTTAGTAATTCTTACTTAGGTATTCTTACTTAACGAGCGATTTCTAAGGGTCGTGGCATCAAAAATTCGTTTCATATCAATTATACTATTTGTTTTGCCCATATTCGATCGTTTTTGAATCTTGGCATTGTTGAAAGTTGTGGATTTTGCTTGTGAGCGGTACTCCAAGATTATTAACAGTTTCTTTTTTGACGGCTAACGTTTCGGCGCTTGGACTTCATTAGAGCCTAAATGTCGAAGCTATAAGCCAACTCATTCCTTCAGACGACAAGAAAAGGCTCAGAGTACTCTTCGAGAGAAAGCTATGGCAAAACATCGTCAGAATTACAAGGGCTAACTCAGTACTAATCTCAGATAACATAGAGCGGAAGTTAGAAGACCTCCTATATACAAGACCAGGCCCCAACTCTTAAATGTGCCTGATGACCTGACCTCATATTCAAATCCGCATAGGGATTGATATAGCGCGAGTTCCTGCGTGATGGCCGAACATTCCTCCTTTCTATTCAATTTTGGATTTTTGGCATTGATCCAAAACTCCTCCAGTTTTGCGTGCGAGGATCTCGGGCTTATACGACTAGATTCTTACTGCAGCTTGCATCTTAGCATTTTTATGACGCAGTATACGGTGTTTTTCCAAAGCGTAGCTGCTCTTAACTTTTCCATCCCATCCGTGTGCTCTTTTATGCGACAACAAACAGGGCGCCCTGTTTTGCCAATGTATGTGTTCCCGCATGGAAGACATGTCATCTGAGATTAGCACTGTCCTTGTAATTCTGACAATGTTTTGTCTCTTGCTCTGAGTCTTTTCTTGTCGTCTGAAGGAATGAGTTGCTTATGACTTCGACTTCCAGGCTCTGACGAGGGCGAAAGCGCCGAAAGATTAGCCGTCAATAAAGAAACTGTTAACAATCTTGGAGTACCGCTCACAAGCAATATCTACACTATTTGTCTTTAAGAATATCTGAAAAATCAACTATAGAATTCTAAAGGGTATAAAATATTATTATTGCTGATCATTTCCATACTTGACAAAAAAAAGAGAATAAGGGAGACTATTAGTCTAGAATCCTAGTAGTACGGTACTGCACGCTCGATGTAATTTTTCACCAAGGATTCTCCTCCAGAATTTGACCCAAAGCCGGGCACATTTCACGCGATTTCAGTCGCGGCGCGATTTGGCAATTCGCCAGAAATCTCCAGATCCAACACTAGCAAACTGCATATGCATAGTGTGTATAACTTACGTAGATTGATAGAATGCCCTACCTTCTGTACATTTAAAATGTGCTTACAGTGATTTATGAACAGTTGGAATATTGCCAAGTCGCGTGAAGTATGCCCGGCCCTTTAGACAGTAACAGTCATCTTACCGCAGTTTACCCAATGAGCCAATGCTTTAAGCTACTCTAATGACCCAATGCTTTAGGCTTCCTCTCGAATGACGAATTAGCTTTACCTAAGTACCCCACCACATAAGAAAACACTTCGAGAAGATGGTTTCGCAAAATAATTTATGTTAATACTTCTCTTCTCAGCCTAAAAATCTATGGGTGGCTGAATAAGTGAAGCCGAGCTATCAGTCACACTTTTAAGGCAATCTAAGCTTTCCTGCAAAACTCTCTAGCGTTTTGTAGCATGTAATTACCATATAAATTATGTAATATAAGAAGCGATTGCAAAACGTCAAATGCACACACCCAAGGCAAATCCTAGCGCGAGGATTATAAGTTCCCTTTTTTCGCTTTAAAGGAAAAAAGTTCGTATAGAAGGCCGCTGTTCGCATTGCAATCTTAAGCTCTGAGCTTATAAACTACGAAGCTTCCTCAGCTTCAATAGATACTCCAAGCCGAGAGCACATGGGTTTCTCTCTACCTTCAAGTTTTATGCAAATATCTTCTTCGCTGAATTTGCAAGGTTTTTCGCCATCGTTGAACAAAAAAAATGAAGAAAAAGCTAAAGGGACACAATAATGAGTGCTCTGTGCACTCATTAAGACTCTCAGATGACTCTCGTTTGAATTTTTATTTGTTCCGCAGCTCCTTGCAATTCCTTCGTTGTCGTCGCTGAAGCTAGAACCTCTGAAAGCGTTCTCTTCTCATTTTCCTTTGCACTTTTTTCGTTTGTCCTAGTCTAAGCCACTTAGGCAACTGCCAATTTTCATGGACTATCCCATTTGAGACCTAGTCAAATGCGAATGGCGAAGTAAGATGAGCTGATAGGAATGGGTTTTATATGTATTATAGCAGAGAGGGTTGCAGAGCTCTATTAGAAATCATGCAGAATTATATATGATCTCTTGAATAATGCCGAATTGCAAGGAGTACTTCAAAAAATCTGCAACACTAGTGCATTCAGCTAAACCTCGACGAGCTAATCTGCTAAAAATTCACCATAAATCTTTGTAAGAAAGCTTTTTTGTACGGAGGAAAATCACCGTACCATGTGAAGTTTGGCTACCCACGAGCTTTGATTAGTTTACATAATCATTTTTTCATTTCATACTCTCAAGGTGCGCCATAATAAAAAATCACTGAACAAACACTGGAGAACACACAGTTTACCGTACCATTATTTTTTTTACTTCTACATTCTTGAGTGGGACAGCCGGTCTGCGTTTTAAGCCCTCCATCCGCTTTCTCCCAAACTTAACGGTTTCTCTTTCTACTTTACCTAGATCGAAACATGTATTATCTAATATCCTCTAATTCAACTGGCTGGGCGGCTGGAAG